CGCTGCGGATGAACTTGATCTAGAGTCGCCATGGTAACGGACCGCTGTGCGGACACGACGCGCTGAGAAGAGCAAGAGCGTCATGAGGTTGAATCAAGCGAGCAGAAGAAACGTACTGGCTGGCCCTCTCTCGGCAAATGTTGCTTCAAACACGCAGACAATTTGATGTTGGCATTTTTTATTAACAAATTCCAATGTTGGAGAAATGCAAAGGGGATTATTTGATGACACACGATTTAAGCAGTTGGAACAAACAATGAACTATCAACATAATTACATTAAAAAAAAATATATATTATATAGCGTTTTTTAAAGAACCCCCCCTCCCCCCCCACCCCACACAAATATTAACAAACTACATTTTTTTTTAGATGAATGGAAATAAAGTCTATTTATTTAAATGAATAAATAATTCCCCTGTAACTTAGTAACTATACAAAATGAATAATAATTAATAAAAAAGAAGCAAACAAACAAACAACAAACAAACAAAAACAACTAAAACAACAACAACATAAGAATAAATTGTGGTATCAAACATTTGAAACTTGTACAATATTTCCTGCACACTCTGTCTCGTCGTAAATAATGTTGAATCTAAAAGTTCATAGTTGCTTCAATTTTGAATTAAAGCAACTTGTCATATTACATTGTGAACTGAATTAACAATGTCATAGGACAAGTTCACGTTCAAATTCGTGGCATCTTTAATGTTAATTCGAGATACTGACATTCAATAGTGTGCACACACAATTTTGACGTCATAGAGGTGACAATTACATTTACACAAATTAGAGAAATGAAAATAAAATGGTTCTTTTAGTAGGACACATGATGGCAGTAATCATTGAAACTCTAGAACAAGACTTACTGGGCTCTTTTTATAACTTTTCTTGATGTTAGTCACAAGCATCGACAACACTAAAATTGTAAGTGCTTACTTAACAAACAACACAAAAATTGTAAGTGCTTACTTAACAAACAACACAAAAATTGTAAGTGCTTACTTAACAAACAACACTAAAATTGTAAGTGCTTACTTAACAAACAACACAAAAATTGTAAGTGCTTACTTAACAAACAACACTAAAATTGTAAGTGCTTACTTAACAAACAACACAAAAATTGTAAGTGCTTACTTAACAAACAACACAAAAATTGTAAGTGCTTACTTAACAAACAACACAAAAATTATTTCTTAAATGTAACTACTGCTGATACAGACAATAATAAAACATTCTTCACACTTCAACATTCATGTCACACTTCAACATTATTCACAATTCAACAATCTTCTCATTTTAAAGTTCCTCACACTTCAACATTCTTCACATTTCAACATTCTTCACATTTCAACATTCTTCACAATTCAACAATCTTTAGACTTCAACATTCTTCTCACTTCAACTTTCTTCACACTTTGACATTCTTCACACTTCAACATTTTTTTCACTTCAACACTCCTCACACTTCATCATTCTTCACAGGTCAACATTCTTCACACTTCAACATTCTTCAGACTTCAACATTCCTCACACTTCATCATTCTTCACAGTTCAACATTCTTCACACTTTAACATTCTTCACACGCATATTACGACAAGTGTTGTTTTACAAAAAGCTAATTCATATAGTTTCCGATGCAAGGGTTCTTAACCTTTTAGCAGCGCCCTGTCCCCTTCTCCATTTTCAAACATTACGCGCACACACGTTTGATATCAAAACATTCCAAAGGACTAGAGTTGAAAAGATGAGTCTTTGGTACTGTGGGTCAAAACACGCTGACACATATCTCTTGGTACTGTGGGTCAATACAGGCTGACATATGGCTCTTGGTACTGTGGGTCAATGCAGGCTGACATATGGCTCTTGGTACTGTGGGTCAATGCAGGCTGACATATGGCTCTTGGTACTGTGGATCAACACAAACTAAGACATAGCTCTTGGTACTGTGGGTCAACACAAGCTGACACAAGGCTCTTGGTACTGTGGGTCAACACAAGCTGACACACGGCTCTTGGTACTGTGGATCAATACACGCTGACACAAGGCTCTTGGTACTGTGGATCAATACAAGCTGACACAAGGCTCTTGGTACTGTGGATCAATACAAGCTGACACAAGGCTCTTGGTACTGTGGATCAATACAAGCTGACACAAGGCTCTTGGTACTGTGGATCAATACAAGCTGACACATGGCTCTTGGTACTGTGGATCAATACAAGCTGACACATCGAATTTCCCAAAAGCATAAGTATGGATTTTGCGAATATTTGAAAATCGTTTTTACAAAAATCAGTGCAAATAGATGGGACATAATAACTATAGGCTACGTATTTTTACATTCTTACAAAAGGAGCACATTCAAAGAAAACACAAACGTTTTTCATAAAATAGTTGATGAAATGCGCACTTTTTGAATGCACCCGTTAAATTCTTAATGTAAAAAAAAAAATCTCATTGCATAAAAAGTTTCCTTTTTGTATCACTAAACAAACATGGCGTCGACTAAATTGAAAGTTATGCAAATAAAAATATTTAAAAAAAAGAATAACAACATCATACAATGTATAACGAACACCTATCCCTACTTTAACCGCCATGCTTTTATGATGAAGTATAATTTAAAAATGGATTGCGCATGTTGGACACTTAGCAAGAATCTTGATCGGCTTCTCTTGATTGGCTTAAATCGTACCCCGTACCGTAGTCATAGCAACCATTTGTTGGACTTATTTTGAACTATAATTTATGAGACTTGAGCTATTACCTTGATCTATACATCTGTGTGAATATTTTAATATAAGTTACAAGAATATCTAAAAACAGGATATGACTATATGAAGTCGATTCAAAATAATCATCAAAACTCCACCATTGAAACATAAGTAGATCATTCGATATATTTGAGTGCCCACGATCAATGTATTTATTATTCTGGTTGCTTATTTAAATTCAGATTTCGCTTTCTCTTAGATGAGTTGCCGTCCAATGGTTAAGAGCACCACCCACCCGGGTAGCTTGGGATGTTTGTGTGTGTGTGCTCGTCTTGTCTTTGGTGGGGATTGAACTCCAGACCACCAGCTGTTGACTCAGTTTAGACCACTGGGCCACCCGGCTATTGAGTACCGCAATGTCTACTTCATCGACAAGCCGAAAACGAGCAGCTACTCTGACCATGACAACAAAGTACTTGAGGAGATACAGAGTCTTATCACATGACACCAGCAATGTGTTGATTCTCTCTGTCTGAGGAAGTCGTTGGGCAAGAGATTTCTGTCAACCTTGATTTCAGGCTTTCAGTCAAGGCCAGAAGACGAGAGAAATTCTTCGCTGAGATAATAATCTGATACACGTCATCCCTTCAATGTCCCAGCCAAAGAAAAAGAAAAGTGGAGAAACAAAAATGGTTTGACGAAACCTGGTGAAGCAATGGTCAAACGGTCATCTCGAGGGACAGTAATCGTGTCCTTTCGCAATGAGTCGTCTGCAATCAGCCGGGCACTCCAGGTATTTCAAGTTCACGTGTATGGTACTCAGCATACAAGGTCACGATTTTGTTTGCCAAATCTCGCTTTTCACCCCCCCCCCCCCCGTTAAGCCCAACAGGAATGAAAGGTCACAGAGCTTCGCTCCTCGCCTGTGGCAGACTGGTGTTGACCCTGCACACACACAAACAAATTTGTTGTCGGATTTTTTAGTTTAAAATCCGATTTGACGGGCGACCCCTCCCCCCCCCTCCCATCAACGATCAGCGATGAACTGTGCGAGTTTGGCAAATGGCTGCCAGCCGGATAAAAAAAAAAAAGTGCAACAAAAAAAGTGATCACGTGTCGCTACCGAGAGCCATGTAAAAAGGGACCGAACCTCAGAAGGTGAATCAGTTGCTAACCTGTCTCCAGAGCAGGAAAGGTGCAGTGTGAGATTATTCGTTGGATATCAGTAGAAGAACTGGACTACATCACGTGATCAGTGGTTAATGTTGGACATCAATTTGAAACTTTCTGCGCAACATTTCGACCAGTTTGACCCCACGAAGAAATAAACTAGGTTGAAAGCTCTCGACAAGAAAAGTTTCTACTCCATCACATTTTATACAAGGAAAGTATACCATCTAAACATGTATTCTTCAGAACATAAATTGATGTCTTTCAAAGGAGATGTTTTTGCGTGTTTAAGAACAATTGCATTCATTGCCATGATGGTTCTCAGCCTACCGAGCTCAGCACGGTCCGAGAGACAAGCGGTCTTTCCTTGTCTGGACTTTCAGGCCATCCGATGGGTTAGAGACGCCACTTACTGCGACCAGTACTACATCTGCCACTTCGGCCAACCCATGTCCATGCCAGCGTGTCCCTCTGGTCAAGTCTGGAGCAACCTCGCACTCAACTGTGTGCCGGAAAACTCTCGCTGGGACGATTGCAACACGGGTGCCATCGCCAGCCCTCCTTTAGAATCCCTGGACATTCCAGAGAGTTCTCAAACCGTTAAATATGACACGCAAGAAAGGACCAACATTGAGCTACCTCCGACGCAAAGAACAGGTGGAAACAGCATAGTTGTTGTCAAACAGCTTTCGACGCAGGCGACTCGAGCTGAGAAGAGAAATCTACCAGTAATACAAGCCAAGATGGTGAAAAGTGCTCCGGTCTTTCAGAAGAGCAGCGCCCAGAAGCTCGGTCAAGTCAACTTGAAACTTACAACCGCAAGTCCAGTTTTTTACACAAACTCTCCAAGATCATGGGTTGATGGAAAGGGGCAGAGAAAACCAGCTACGCAAGACAGGCGCAACGGTCAGCCGAATACGCCCGAGAGGCGTAACGGTCAGTTATCGACACAGGATAGGCGTAATGGCCAGCAAATGAGGTGGTACACAGAACAACCCCGACTCAATCTTACTCAGCGGGTCACCACGGCACCCACGGTAACGTCACGGGCAAGCACAGCGCCTCCAGTGACGTCACAGGATCTCAGACGTACCAGTAGACCACAACCCAGACAAGAGACCACAGCTGTCCCTCATACCCTAGAGTCCAAACTGAGGCTGTTGGATATTGATACAGGTGAGTGAACTCATCTTTAATATTTGATCTCCTGAGATTATATAAGATTTACGATGATTTCAATGTTCGGATGAGACTGCTAGGATCTTTACGTGTTTTAATGAATACATTCCCGAAGAAGAAAATCCCAAAACCACGAAGACATTAAATTTGATACAGATGAAACGTGTTCCGTGAGTGTAGTCTGAATGGTCTAGAAACCGATGCATTAAATAAAAAAAACGAAATACATCTCATGGACTCTCCGTTTTGAATCGATATTGCAATAGCGACCGTGGCCTTGTTATGAACTTAACAGAAGAGATTTAACATCGCCTCATTTCAAAACATTTAAACGACTAATGTAGAGCCGCAAAATGCCGACCCTGGTTCGGCCGGAGATCATGTGTTCCCCCCCCCCCCACCCCCGCACTTTTTTCACTTCAGACTTTGCACGTGTATTTTGACATAGGTGTATCCATGAGCCAAGATCTTGACAGATTAAAATATATCTGAGATATATATCAATTTTCAACCCTCTAAGATGTAAGGAAGTTGATAAAATGAATTTAATTGTTTAAAATTACTGATTTCATGGAGGGCGAACAAAATTAAATTTTTAATAAAAATTATAATATTTAAGACTTTTCTATAAGTTGCTAATTTCCAGAAGAAACTTTGAAATTGAACTAGATATGAACAAGAGAAATGGCCTTGTTCAAGAGTTTGTTGTTTAGAGAATTGTATTATGAACGTGCTTCTCTGTAATATTTATTTAATGAAGCAGTACAAAGACGAGTTAAAAGGAAGAAAACCTAAAAAAAATTGGTATTTTTCCTTAGACGTTAATTCATCCTAAAATACAAGCACATACTAACAAAAGCCAAGTCTTTACCCGGTACGCTGTACACTGTACAGGATATCATCTTCGACTCAGTACAAACAACATTAGCTCATAAAATCTGTAGAAATTGTCAAGAACGCCTTGATATAAATTCTGTCTACATTGACACATTTTTCACAGAAAGCATTTTTAGCAGTTGACTGTTCTGAAATGAACAAGACATTTTTCTTGTCAGTTCATTGTTTCATTATTACACGGCATTTTGTCCAGACCCTCCTGTACAAGTAGCTTGACATTAGGGCACAGTTGCATAGCTGTCACCCTGTGACATAGGTGTCACCAGTTACACTAGAAAGCCTTCAATAAATTGGCTGTCCTCAGATACATTCAGTGCCCGCGGTACATTGGTGGCCCCCCGGAAAATAGGTGTCACCAGGTACACTAAAAGGCCTCCAATAAATTGGTTATCCCCCAGTACACAGGTAGCCAAATCTGCAAACAAAAGCTCCATCTTGCCCCCATAATGATATGCTAAAGTCATAGATTGCCCCCATAATGATATACTAAAGTCATAGATTGCCCCCATAATGATATGCTAAATTCATAGATTGCCCCCATAATGATATACTAAAGTCATAGATTGCATGAAAAAAAAGGACTCATTTAGAATCCTGTGAAAATGACGATCGGGGCTTGTGCCCCCTGTGATCCCACCTTCGTACGGCCCTTCTCCTCTGAAACTCTCATAACAAGACTTAAACTCATTCCAGATCACCCATGCATACGCCAGCCAGGGGCGCTGCTCCCCCACCCAGAAAACTGCCACTGGTACATCAACTGCAGCCTCGCCAACCTTGACGACACCCAGGCGAGAAGCAACGAGGAGCAGGGCGACGACCCGAGCGAGGACACACGCGAGGGCTTTTACCTTCTGCAGCCGTTCAGGGTGCGCCGCGAGGGCGTCTTCGTCTGGGAGTGCCGGTTTCCCCAGCTGTTTGATGACGTCACGAACGTGTGTCGAGAGTTTATCAACGTGGAGTGTAAGAACCGCTTTGAGCCGGTCGACCAATGTGAGTAGAACAGGGAAAACTCTTCAGCGTTACGTTTATCTAGTGTTTAGGTTATTTGATATTAGGTTTATTATTTAGTATTCGGTTTATTTAGTGTTTAACACAGATATATCAGATTCTGTTGGTAAATAGCTAAACATCGAAGCAAAAAAAGTTCCCTAGATGATAGTTCTCTAGATATTAGCTCTCTAGTACCCTACATACTATTTCCCTAGATCTTGCGACCCTATATATAGTTCTGAGTTCCTTAGTTCTTGGTTCCCTGGACTTTATTTCCCTGGATCTTTGTAAATGGATCAACTGTGTCCCATAGTGTCATGTGTTTGGACTCCTTGATTAAATAAAAATTGTTTTAAAAAAATTTAAAAAATGCTAGCTTCGACAAGGTGAATCCTATCACTACATAGTGTACCTCAGTGACGTCCTATGACATTTGGCCGGTCTAGTTTGTTGACACTAGCTAAACACGTGAGTGTGTCACTAATTGGTCAACTTCTCCTGTCGACGGTCGCGTGGGTCAATACAGGATGGGCATGTCAGACAGTCACGTGACGAGACATGGGGGAGGTTTAAAGTAGCTTTCTGCTCGACTCATAAGGAAATTAATCTTACTACTACTAGGGCTTCTCAACCCGTTGGAGTCTTTTTTTTTTTACACAGGGTCCGGGTATTTTAAGAAAATAGGTGGTGATGGTTACAAGTGCACACAAAATAAAAAAGAAATGTGGATATGTTTTTTTTTTTTTTTTTTTTTTTTTTGGGGGGGGGGGTGGTTTTTGAAGAGGAAGTAGGACGAACCAGAAGAAAAAATATATTTAAAAAGTATTTATACGTGAATATCATAATATTCTCTTTGTTGGCTCTCTCATTATTGTATATCATGTGTACTCTCATTAGCAGAGCCGTCACATGGGGCATCTAACCCCTATGGTTGTGGGGGCCTCGGATAGTTAAGGGGACTATTTTTATGATCAGGGGAAAAATGTTTTATTTTATTTCTTTGTTAAATAATTTACTGCTGTTGCAAATTCAGCAAGGACTCACTTGGTGGTTGCTCTGTTCAAACTCTACATGTTTCTGGCTGTATGTCCCTAGGGGGCCTAAGCCGTGCCCCCCCCCCCCCCCCCTGATAGTGCATCTTATCCAGAAAGTATAGCCGATGGATAACGGATTGACACTGTCAAACGTGTAACTATCCATGTCAAAGATGACCCACTTCCCCCACACAAAATAAAACCAGGTCTGTTCTAAGACGCTGCCATAAGGGAGACCTGATGGTCCCAAGTATTGATTGCGCTAAAATGATTGAGGCTCGATGATTGCTTGATTGCGCTAAAATGATTGAGGCTTTCGCTAGCTGCAAAGAGCGCAGCGTTGCTATTTGAGTGAATAATTAAATACGCTGAAATGTTTAACTTTTTATATTTCTTTTCAATTTTAAGTAATTATGAAAGCGAACGAAAAAAAGGCCCCACTTTGAAAGAAGCGGGCCTGAAACCGAAAAGTGGCAGTGAGGCGGGGCGCCCACACTAACGTGACGGCACTGCTCTTAACACATCTTATAAACCTAATAAACCTATCGCATCTTCTGAACCTCATAAACCTATCACATCTTCTAAACCTAATAAACCTATCACATCTTCTGAACCTAATAAACCTATCGCATCTTCTGAACCTAATAAACCTATCGCACCTTCTGAACCTAATAAACCTATCGCATCTTCTGGACCTAATAAACCTATCGCACCTTCTGAACCTAATAAACCTATCTCATCTTCTAAACCTAATAAACCTATCTCATCTTCTGAACCTAATAAACCTATCACATCTCCTGAACATAATAAACCTATCACATCTTCTGAACCTAATAAACCTATCGCATCTTCTAAACCTAATAAACCTATCGCATCTTCTAAACCTAATAAACCTTGCACAGAAGGGATCTGTTAATAGATGTGGAGTAAATAAATATTGCAATAAATCTAACTGAAAGTCACGTGTAATGAGACCAACGGTCACCTGTCATTAGACCAGCGGTCCACAGACCGAGACACAGCGACCTTTCAAAAATAATTTTCACCTTTGTTTCACACATCTTCACGGTTTCCATTTCCACAGGTGAATACTCTGCCCGTCAACAATGTCAAGGTCAGAGGTGCTTGCCCTGTGAGAAGCGGTTCGGCAAGTGCCGAGGCCGAGAGAATGGCGTGTACCCCGTCCATCAAGACAAGTGGACGCCCCTGTTTGTGACCTGTTACCTCCAGAGAAACATCGCCCTTGATGAATGTATCCCACCAACCCCCATATTTTCACCTGAAGCGCTGGACTGCGTCTCTCTGTTCGAGGTATGACCCAAACGTCTGCTGATATTTCTGCTTCTGTCCGCTTCTTTCGTTGAGGAATCTCTGGGAGGTACACTCGGTAGGGAGGTATTGTTGGCAGGGAGGTACAGTTGGCAGAGAGGTACAGTTGGCAGGGAGGTACAGTTGGCAGGGAGGAAAAGTAGGCAGGGCGGTATACTTGGCACTATTTTATTGTTTTGTTCTCCCCCTTTTGATCACTTTAGGGGAAGTCATTGTATGAGGAATAATAAATACCAGTTATCTTTCTTGAAGTTGTCAACATCTTATTGAGCAAAGTCTTTCGGGACATTAAACCACTAAAGTTGCGACTGATTGATGAGCAATAACTTCGATTTAAAAAAGAAAAGAAATTATGATGCTTCATTTGTTCCACAAGCCTCGCAATTCAAACACATTTTTGTTCCACCAGGTTCCAAAAGTCCACGGTGGTTTCCTGCCGGACTGCAGCAGCCGACCTGACGGCTACTACCCAGACGAGCAAGGTCGCTGTGCCATCTTCTTCCGCTGTGCTTTAGGGACGTTTCGCGGTTATGACGAGTGCCCACCTGGCAGTGTATTTGACCCAGCTGTACCGTCCTGCCAGCCGTTCAGGTAGGGAGGTCTTGTCAGGTCGTTTAAGTTGGTTGAACTAAACATAGCAAAGTCGCACCCTCTAACGCCACAGCATAATGGCTGTGTTGCTTATGGTTGAAATGGCTAGAAAGACTTTGCCATTGTATGCTTGTACTTAGTTTTTGTCGTGTTGTGTTTGTTTTAAATGTGGTAAACTATAGATTTTTTTTTTTTTTGACTTTGTACCGCGCTTCGAGCCTTTGGGGATGAAGCGTGTTTTTGAAATGAACTTTATTATTATTATTATCTAATGCCAAAGTCTCTAATGTCACAGCATCTAATGTCACAGCCCTTCATGTCACAGCCTCTAATCTCACATTCGCTAATGTCACAGCCTCTAATCTCCCACTTATTCCTTCAGCCTTGCCTCCCGGCCTTGTGGAGAAGGTCAAGCTCCTCTTTGTGGCGGTAAGTTGGATGGCCATTACGCTGACCCCTACGGACGCTGCACTCATTACTTTGAATGTAAGCAAGGCGCCTTCCAACAGTACAACACATGTGACCTGGGCATCTTTGACCCCCTGACCCAGAAATGCGTCCTGTCGGCTGAACTAACTGTGAGACCATGTGGACTCCAGGTATGGAACCCGAAAAACTTCTTTGTTTTGATAACTTCCCTTTTTTCAGGTGTATAGGTCAAAGTTCACTTTTAAACTATGCAAAAGAAAATATCAACACCCATGTGTTTGTCAAAATTACCATGCAGACTATGTCAACATCCTGGTCCAATACCAAGAATGGTCCAGCCGATTTTATTGCTAGGTTTGGCTTTGATCAAGATTATTTGGAGACCGAAGACTTCTTTGTAGACGTGTTTGGTTAAATTTCCTCCTAATCTGTGTGTAGTAGTTTGAGTATAGTAATTTGTGAATAGTAGTTTGTGTATAATAATATGTCCTATTTTAAACAATGTTTTCACGACATGATAATGTGGTCTAGGGCAAACCATAAGCCTGGGTTTGAGAGTAAAGGATATTAAATAGAAACCGGATTTCCGGTGACCTTTCTTTGAATTATTTGATAACGTCTGGTTCATTAGAATGACACCATCAGTTTGTCATCTTTGCTGTCACCTGATTGATTATTTTTTTAAATAGTCTTGTAAAGTTTGTAAGGCCACACATCAAAGATGAGCATAAAAATATCAAAATACATACAACTATATTCTCAAACGTTGAAGGACAACATATTAACTTTACCCTGTAACCTTCACCCTCACAGCCCAGTCCGTGCGAGACGCTGCCCACTGGTGTGTATCCAGACCAGGCCACAGGATGCAGTAACTTCATTGAATGCCAGAAAGGGGTCATGCTGACCAACGGAACGTGTGCTCGGGGGACAGTCTTCAGCGCCATCACAGGTGAGCAAAGCACGACGACAGCCTTCTGTCTTGTAATGTCTGCAGCTTGAAACAACGCGTCTATGACCCAAACCGCTCATTGAAATATTAATAGAGTTGTACATTCATGCTTTTTTTCCTTTCATATTTAGCTTTAAATTGTACTTTTTTTTTTTTTTAAATGAAAAAGTTTATAACTTGAAAGAATTGGTTAGATTATAAATTTAATGGCAATGTACATTTTTTTACTGAGCTTTCGTTTTGCTTAAAACTTTGATCTCTGTTATTCAAGTTTTTTGAAATATTAATAGAGTTGTACATTCATGCTTTTTTTCCTTTCATATTTAGCTTTAAATTGTACTTTTTTTTTTTTTTTAAATGAAAAAGTTTATAACTTGAAAGAATTGGTTAGATTATAAATTTAATGGCAATGTACATTTTTTTACTGAGCTTTCGTTTTGCTTAAAACTTTGATCTCTGTGATTCAAGTTTTTAATGTATTTGTTCCAGTCCTTAAAAAGAATATTTTGAAAACGACTTTTAACATTTTAAAATTTAAACAAAATTTAAAAAATAAATAAATATACAAGTTAAAATAATAGAAGGATAATGGACGGTTATAGTGAAATTAACCCTATTTCATTACCACTCAAATGATTAAGATGTAAATAACATTATGTAACTGAAAGGATTAAGATGTAATTAACAGATTATGTTACTGAAATGATTACGATGTAATTGACAGATTATGTAACTTTACTTCATTATGATGATTCTGTTCCTCGTAGGTCGCTGTGACCTGCCCGAGAACGCCCCACCCCCCTGTGGGTTCTCTGACACGTGCCGGGGTAAGACCGACGGACGGTACCCGGCCCTGACCCGGGGCTGCAGCTTCTTCTACGAGTGCTACCACGGGGAGTTCATCAGCCTGAGGCGCTGTACGGCCAGCGACGGCGGCTTCTTCTTCAACCCGGCCACGGGGGACTGCGACTACCCTCAGAACATCTGCCCCCCATGTGGCTACAAGTGGTGGGGATGGTGAGTTCTCATACAATTGTTGCCACCCCGCCCCAATTTTAAAGTCTGCCAGCACATTGTGGCGCCCTCAATATAAGAGAATGTCAGCACATTGTGGCACCCCAATATTAGAACATGTCAGCACATTGTGGCGCCCCCCATATTAGATTATGTCAGCATATTGTGGCCCCCCCAATATTATAGCATATCAGCACATTGTGGTGCCCCCAATATTAGAGCATGTCAGGACATTGTGGCACCCCCAATATTAGAGCATGTCAGCACATTGTGGCGCCCCCAACATTAGAGTATGTCAGCACATTGTGGCACCCCCAATATTAGAGTATCTCAGCAAATTGTGGCGCCCCCAATATTAGAGTATCTCAGCAAATTGTGGCGCCCCCAATCTTAGAGCATGTCAGCACAGTGTGGCGCCCCCAATATTAGAGTATTTCAGCACATTGTGGCGCCTCCTTTGTGGCCCCCCCAATATTAGAGCATGTCAGCACATTGTGGCGCCCCCAATATTAGAGTATGTCAGCACATTGTGGCCCCCCCAATATTAGAGTATCTCAGCAAATTGTGGCGCCCCCAATATTAGAGTATCTCAGCAAATTGTGGCGCCCCCAATATTAGAGCATGTCAGCACAGTGTGGCGCCCCCAATATTAGAGTATTTCAGCACATTGTGGCGCCTCCTTTCGCACCTCATTGTGAGAGCCCGACATACCAACCAGCTCATTAAGTCCCAGGTGCTGAAAGTTATTACTCGACTTTATTATTAATTGAAACCGAAATATAATCAGATTGCGTTGTTGAATCACGTGACGAAATGCATGGGACGGAACCATTGTGAATTGTGGGGGGGGGGGCGGAGAGGGGGACCCTTGAATGATGTGACCATAATTAAAGACATTCTTTCCAACCTCTAAACTATACGTGCATGTTTGTTTCTTTCCACAGTGACGGGACTTATCAAGTATAAGACATGAAACAAGACTGCAAATGTTAGCAGTGTTAACTCAAGCGACCAGAAACATTAAGCTACATCACGGAAGTCCAGGTGGGCCATAGTTTGACTCAATTCTTCCAAGAACCAAACGCTATGATTTCTTGGAATTTCATCAATATCGATCTGGCGCAGTGATTTAGGTCAACGTGATTCCACTAGACAGACATGGCCAAAGTGTCTGTCAGATTTATCCAAGAATTTCACAATCTTCTTTCATCGTTCTATGAATATCTAACAGTTGATAGATAACCCACCTGTAACAACTTATTGATTTGGTCCACCTGCAACAACCTATTGATTTGATCCACCTGTAACAACCTATTGATTTGGTCCCCCCCCCCTGTAACAAACAATTAATTTGGTCCACCTGTAACAACCTATTAATTTGGTCCACCTATAACAACTTATTGATTTGGTCCACTTGTAACAGCCTATTGATTTGGTCCTCCTGTAACAAACTATTGATTTGATCCACCTGTAGCAGCCTATTGATTTGGTCCATCTGTAAAAAACTATTGATTTGGTCCACCTTGAACACCTTATTGATTTGGTTCACCTTGAACACCTTATTGATTTGGTCCACCTATTACAATTTATTAATTTGGTCCACCTATTATACTTATTAATTTGGTTCACCTGTAGCAACCTATTGATTTCGTCCACCTGTAACGACCTATTGATTTGGTCCACCTGTATCAACCTATTGATTTGATCCACCTGTAACGACCTATTTATTATTACTTCTAAAATTTGTAACAAAAAATCTTAATTTAGCATGGTAACAGATTCCAAGTTAGATAATAAACTATATATTTTTACGAAGACTCTAGTCAGGCATAGTTCCCCTTGAATATAAAGAATACCCCGAGCTAGACTTTTGATTCATTTGACACGGAGATTCACTAGAGCTGAGACTACGGGTTTGTTGTGTATGTTCAAACCTACAGTAGAGAAGATGACTACAGTTATACAGTTGAGTAGTAAAATCTTTACTGGGGTTAAAACAACTCTGGGCTATGTCAGAGAGCGAATTCCGGTCAATGTGAGAACCTTGGTATGTGAGTGAGAGTGGTGTGATGTGTGATATGTCGCATGATATGTCGCATGATATGTCGCATGATTTGTCGCTCTTGATATTTTAAACGTAATCACAAGAATGTCGGGCAAAAATTGCTGTAGCATGAATTCTGGAAAATCTTTTTGTTTAAAACTTTGGACTCTATAATGCACGTTTGTAATTTTATTTGTTCCAGACCTTAAAGAGAACATTTTGAAAAAAAGATTTTTAACGTCTGAAAATTTAAACAATTAAAAAAAAAAATTACTGTTGGCACCTTTTACGTCACGGTTCATGTCACATGCGAGTTGGAGTGAACGAAAATGTTTGAATTTTTTTTAAGGATGGAAATTTTAATTGATGACTCTTTGATAATATCCCACAATTAAATACATAATGTACATACGGTTTTGTAAATATTTGTAAATATATAATATATTTAAATATATGTAAACATATGTAAATGCCATAAATAGAAATGAATTGACGTCATAGGTACGTGACAGCTCAATGTACATAGTCGTAAAGGTTCAGTTCGTGTGTTATGACTGGTGACCTGAGGGCCAAGGCTACACACTGGTCAGTTTGAATGCTAATATAATGTGTTCAAGAAGTTTGATGTGCATCAAAATGTGTTTTCGGTTATTCTTGTCATGAAACGTGAGAATGAAAAACTTGAACTTTAATTTAATAATCTTGTGTAAATACTTGAACATGTATAATACAATGCCACCTTCATATGTGCACCATGTGCGGTGATGACATAGGACAGTGATTGGTTCCCATAATTTCACCAGTCCATCTTCGATACCGTGGAAGGAAGTGGTGACCTGTGTATTGAGCCAATTAATCTGAATCATTTAATCATCATGTTCTTTCAACTCTGTAATCATTCAAGTGTGTATAAATAGTATTGTAAATATGGAAATACATAGGAGTCAAATAATAAAATATATCTCTACATAAATAAAAAGTCTTGAGTTCTTTTTATTTTAACTTTAATAAATGAAACTAAAATCATGATCAATAAATGACCAGATATGACAATAAAGTCGTAACACAGGCCAAATCAATGACCACATTTGATAATGAAGTCTAAACACAGGTCAAATAAATGACCATATTTGACAGTGGTCCAAACACAGGTCAGATAAATGACCAAATTTGACAATGAAGTCCAATCGAGGTCAAATGAATGACAAGAATTAACGATGTAGTCTAATCCCAGGACCAATCAATAAAAAGACATAACATCAACTTTATGAAACGTAACTCATACTAACTAGAAAGTAAAATTCACCTCTAGCTGAGTTACAGTGCAATCAATCAACTCTAAATAGCTACACTGTTAGAGCTTCAAGCAAACCTCTTGTCTGCACTGCAATGGCTGGCCAGATTTGTCTGCACTGCAATGGCTGGCCAATTTGTCTGCACTGCAATGGCTGGCCAGATTTGTTTGCACTGCAATGGCTGGCCAGATTTGTCTGCACTGCAATGTCTGGCCAGATTTGTCTGCACTGCAAAGGCTGACCAGATTTGTCTGCACTGCAATGTCTGGCAAGATTTGTCTGCACTGCAATGTCTGGCCAGATTTGTCTGCACTGCAATGTCTGGCCAGATTTGTCTGCACTGCAATGTCTGGCCAGATTTGTCTGCACTGCAATGTCTGGCCAGATGTTTGATGTTAATTATTTCCCTGATATAAAATGACAGACTTAAGTAAGGGTTTAAGTCTTTAGAATAGATTTCACTTTTTCATTAAATTCATCGGATGTCACTGAAATGAGCTTGTATTTTATCCAATGTTCCCATCTGACACCTTGTATTTAACCAATGTTCCCATCTGACACCTTGTATTTAACCAATGTTCCCATCTGACACCTTGTATTTAACCAATGTTCCCATCTGACACCTTGTATTTTAACCAATGTTCCCATCTGTCAACTTTATTTAACCAATGTTCCCATCTGACACCTTGTATTTAACCAATGTTCCCATCTGTCAACTTGTATTTAACCAATGTTCCCATCTGTCAACTTGTATTTAACCAATGTTCCCATCTGTCAACTTGTATTTAACCAATGTTCCCATCTGTCAACTTGTATTTAACCAATGTTCCCATCTGACACCTTGTATTTAACCAGCGCTCCCATCAGACGCCTTGTATTTTACCCTATGTTCTCACAGGCATGTCATCATAAAATAACAACAATTACACAGAGAACTAAATGATGTCATCAGATTGACGTTGATGATGGCTGAATATAAAAAGTTGTATTCTCCAATCAAACTTACACAGGAATACGACGTTACGTGTCAAATAGTGTTTAGAGAGCTACATTGATGTTACAGGGGACTGTTTACAAGGTGTGAGGATCCCTCTGTCCCGCAGCTGTTTTGGAAATGTTTACAAGGTGTGATGACCCTTCTGTCACATTACTGTTAAAGGGACTGTTTACAAGATGTGAGGACCCCTCTGTCACGCTGCTGTTACAGGGACTGTTTACAAGGTGTGGAGACCCTTCTGTCACGCTGCTGTTTCAGGGACTGTTTAAAAGATGTGAGGACCCTTTTGTCACACCTAGGATCGACATAAGGGGATGGGGGAAAACAGGGTAGGCCACTTTGATAAATTGAAATGACTGATATTTAAAATACACATACATATTTGCCGGACCAGCTTAATTTAATAACAATGTTGTAACAAAGATTCTTTAAAGCTATCACCATGATGCTAATTCTAACATTAATCTTTTGACAAGATCACTAGTGTGTAAGTCCTTAATTCTAGTTGTCTTATATTTGTGTTGTTATCTAAAAGTGTAGTAAGTTATGGCGGGCATAAGAACATATATAGTAATCAATATAAGTTCATATATAATAATCAATATAAGTACCTATATAATAATCAAGATAAGTACCTATATAATAATCAATATAAGTACCTATATAATAAG